TAAGGTAGAATTGGAATCATGATAGTCAGAGGGGTCGGGGGGAGGAGCATTTAAGAACTGGAGGAAAGTTGTATGTTTCATCGTTGCTACCCTGCACCCTGACTGGCTTGTCTCCTCCCCGAGACCCTACTGTAGGGGATGTCCAGTTGCTTACAGATGGGCTTTGGGTCTCCACTCCGCACTCCGCCTCATTTGCAAAGACATGATTTTTTAAGAACAGTGCTTTCTTAAGAACAATTTCTTCTAAACACAGAAAGCCGAAAGCGGTGGAGGAATCCCATGGAAAGTTTACATGGCTGAGATGGCAGTGAGGTATCCTTCGGGACATAGTCATGCCAACTCCTGAAGGTCCGGGGGAGCGCCCATCAGTTAGGTTTCACAGTCTGGGCTCTGCACGCAGACCAACAGCTGGAGACCATTGAGATGACTTGGGGAGGGAGGGCTCACGCCAAGCAGCAGTTTGATTTTGTGATTAATTTAGAAAGTAGTAAGTTAAATTACCTGTCAAGAGCAAAATAACAAAATTAGATGGAACACCAAGTGTAAATTATTAGCTTTGAGTTTCTGTAAAATGTGTTTTGGAAACGAATAACTTTCTTTCTTTTCCCCTTCCTACACCCTAGCTTCTTTTCCCCACATTGTTTTTATTCTTTGTCCAGAATGCAATCAGATGTTCTCTTCAACCTGTTCCTCTAATTGCAATTAAACCCTGGGGGAGTGCTCTTCTCAAATGCCAGAAAATAAGTTCGTGCCCCAGGGAATGGGAATGCTGGGAATGTGATGTGACTAATCACTAGCCTGCTTGTCCTCCCCCAGCACATAAAGAAGGGCTGGGAAGATGGGAACACCCACAATTCTCAAGCAGGAAAGCCTGGTGCTCATTTCCCCGAGGGAAAAAAAAATCATTGTTCTGCATTCTTTGGGTCACCTGACAAAGGGCTTTCTGATTTATTGACTTGCTGCCACATTGAAAAAGTAATAAATCCATCACCAGCTTTACTTAGAAACCAGGGCAAAGTAGTGTTAGCTTGAGGAATCACACAAGACTTTAGAAAGGGAATTAAGTTCTTGGAAGAACACGTGTGTGCGTACACACACACACACACACACACACACACTGCATTTGGGAGGAAACTTAAGGAACCAAAGAAATAGGAATTAGAAAGACATTTGTATTTGACTTGTCCCATCCTAGTTTCAGTTTGTGTAGATAAGCAATAAACAAGGGAAGTGTGAGATTACTTGTGCTTACAAGTTAATTTAAGATTAGTAAGTAAGCACGAGCAAGCCTTACCTGTGCTTCCCTCACTTACTGTGGTTTTCTTCTCTGTCAGAGACTGTAATATTGAAAAGAGACTGATTCTGTAGGAAGGTGTTGTGGGGTTGAGATACAGGTGCCAGCCAGCCCTATAAGCAGAGTCTTTAATATGGTGACAAAAACATGGAATTGCTCCCTACAGATGAGAACGTAACCACTAGCCAGCCCATGCTTACCTTGCTTATGAGTCACCCATCATTGTACTTCTACTGGTACAATGCTACGAGTTCAAAGCAACCCTGGAGTCAAGTCCAGGACCCAGATAAGATGGCCTGGATGAGATGTTGGAATCACAAAAGATCTCGAGACATACAGAAAGAAGTTGCTTTGGAGTGATGGAGACCTGAGTCTGTTATGTACTAGCTGGGCGTGCCTGAGCAAGTCATTTAACATCTTGAGCCTCAGTTTCCCTCTCAGTAAAATTGGAATAAGCACCTTTCTCTCAGTGTCATATTGCAAAGATAAACTATAACATCTCAAAAGTGACTTATGCATAATAATTATATACAAACTAATATTGATAACTAGAAAACTTCCAGGGGCATGGGGAATCCATTAGAAAGGAAGAAGACAGTGAAGTTGATTTAAATTTGCTTTTAAATTGGTAGAGCAGTTTCTGAACTAAAGAGAAAGCAAGTTAAGAAAAGCACATAAGCTGCTAGTTAGTTTGGGCAAGGCAGGTAGAGGGGCAGGAACTGATGCTAAGCCACTGCAGAGGCCAGTGATTTGCATGAGGAAAGTGGTGTCCAATTTTTCAGTAAATAACAATTAGACCTTTGGGGGAAGTGGGAGAAAGTCAGGTCGAAATACAAAACTGCAGGCACCATTAACAGGATCAATGGAATGCTCGGTGGGACGTGGGGAAGGGGACTGTGGGATCGAACACTCTCCATGCCACTGGAGAAAGGTGGGTGGCAATGGCGTATGTAGGCTGCAGATCAGGGAGTTGTATCGTTCTTTGTGAAGAAAAGTACCATTAGAAATAACACCCCAATTTTTTGCCAAGTATTTCCTCTGAAATCTTCGCCAGCATAAATTCAGTTATTATGAAGAGACATTAAAAATAACAAAATAGGAAAGCAAAGTCCCTGGCCGGAGTATTGATCATAAATGTTTCTTTCCTTTCTTCAATTTTTCAATGAAACTAGAAATGCTGAAAAGTTAGGTCAGGAATGAAATCTGAAAAAATAACAGCCTTATGCTGTTAGGTAAAACCTCTTATTTAACAATAAGCTGCTAAATAAGAGTGGGGACAAGGGGCATCCTTGTCTGGTCCCCTTTTTCAGTGGGATTGGGTTAATCTTTTCTCCATTGACTACTATGTTGGCTGTTGGTTTTTCATATATAGGTTGTGAATGCAACATACTGGCATGCCCCAGAACCGGACAGTGAACCCACTCATCACTAAGAATAGCCATAAAAATTAAATGACAGCTTAATAGGGTTCATCAACAGAAGCAAAAGTTGTTTCCTTAAAAATAATGTGGCAAACAAGTTTTATGAGTTTGCAAAAAAGCATTTTTAATCTGCCTTCAGGCTTAACAAAAACGAAAATTGTTTCAAACCGTATTTCACTTGGGTTTTTCTAATCAATGCTTAAATTGTATTTCAATGGATATTTTTGGCTTCGTCCACCTGCTGAAATGTGAGAGTTAATTGTGCTATGATTCCATAAAGGATCACTGGTGAATACTGACTGAACCTGTTTCTGACCAATTACATAAGCACTTTATGCCTTCTGGGGTTCTTCTGTTTCATTAGAATTAATCCATGTGTCTCACCCCAAAACCTCCTCTCCACATTTCATCCTCACTTGGGGAGCCTGGAGGAGCTCCGGTTCTGGGGCATCCTCACAATCATTGATGTCTGGGACGGTTTTGTAACCACCAAGCTATTGCAATTTACAGAGAATCTTCCTTTCTGGTGTTCTTGGCCCTTGAAAAAATTGCTTGCCAAAGATAAAGCAAAATGCCCAGGTATGGAGGTGATTAAAAAAAAAAAAGTCTAGAAGTACATTGCAGTTTCCTGAGATCAATTATTTTTCAGTTAATCACATTATCAAGCTATTTATGAAAAAGTTCTATATGCGGATGAAAGGAAAGAAAGAGGAGCCAGTGAATTCACTTATCCTCTCTGCAAATATACACATGAATGGTATCCAAGAAGAAAAAAAAATTAATTCAGGAAAGATCTATTATTACCATTTTTTATTATCAGATTTTTATTACCTGAAGAGATTAGAAGGACTCCAAAAAATGGGAGGTTTTTGTTTTTAACTTTCTATTGTTAACTGGGGTAAAGAGCCAATCAGCTGTGTATTAAAAAATTCATATGCATTTTATTTCATGTGATTGCAATGAGTCACTAAGATGCAACATCACTAATTTTATCTTCTCCCTCTGGTTCTCATTTCCATCCCTTCTCCTTTCCTAACCCTTCCATATTATGTTCTTCCATAAATACTACCCTTTTGATTTCAAATGGTTGATTCTTCTAAGGAACACTGCAGTTTTTTAGGGAAACCCATTTTCGGGAGAAAACTGCTTGAAGAAATATTGTCTTCTGTTTAAGAGGAAGATGTGGGAGGAAGATGCTAGGGGAATCCCATTTCCCAATTAACTTGATAAAATGAAATGATGTTATTTTATAATCTTCAGTTTTCACCTAATTATTATGGAAGTTGACTGCCATACCTTTCTCCTGCAACGCAGCCAATGGATTCAAACCACTGAACTTGCAATTAGCAGCTGAGCACTTACCCATTGCACACCACGACTCCTCAATAACTATAGATACATGTCATTATTTTCAATGTCTGCATCGCCCGGATGTCATGCAGTTGATCTAATTAATCTACTGCTTTGATATGTAGATTACATTAAGTACATACTTTAAGTATTTAATTTACTTTAAAGCATAGTTTCATTGACATATTTGTCACATACAATACAATTTAATCACTCAATTATATTAAGAAGATTTGTGGAATCACCACCACAATCAATTTCAGGACATTTTCTTTTCGTACTCACAGTTATTAGCTCACCACTTCCCCTTTATTTACTTTTACAATCAATATTTTCTCACCCTGTTCTTTATTTGTATTAACCCATATAAATTCCCGATCATATATGCTCTTGCAGGATAATATTATCCTGGACTCTCTGTGGCACCTAGCACATAAAAGAATGATAGAATATCTGTATCTATTCGTTGAAAGGAATTTGGGTGCCCTGGCATTTAATATTTCACTATTAAAAACAATGTTAAGATGAATATCCTTGCTTGACTATTTCTTAGGACAGATTTGTGATAGGTTTTTTGTGCCAACATGGCACCTGTAAGAAGATATGGGTGGGGCTTGGCCTGTCAATCAGGTTGCAGCTTGATGATCTCATTTGGGTGTGCCACCGAGATCAATGGTTTGCTGGAAGCTGGTCACTCTCTCTCTCGGCCTTCACCTTCCTGTCGATGCCTTGTGGAAACCTGCACTAGCCCTGGAGATGTGTTCACCACAATTGGATCCACAAGACTTTGCACTCACCAGCAAGTGTTCCTGCATCCTTCATCATGGCTCGTGGCTTTGCGAGTCTGAAGAGGGACTTATGGACTAGCGTCAGACTTACAGACTTGAGTTGGCCTGGGCGGGATGTTTTATTGATGCACCCTTAGTTCTTCAGAACGAAGCTCTTTCTGACACATGTGTGAGTGCCACTGGATTTGTTTCTCCAGTCAATCTGGCCTCACACAAGATTCTTCGCAAAAGTTCCACTGCCGAGCCAACTTTTGTTAAACGAAAGACTGCCTATGAGTTGATTCTGACTCATTTTCACCTGAGCAGAGCTCCTCAACTGTTTTCAATAGAACTGCTGGTGGGGTTGAACTATTGACCTTTTGCTTAGCAGCCCAATGCTTACCTCACAGCGCCAATTGGACTTCTGAAAGGTAAGTTGGTTTACCCATACTTCCCATTTCCCACCACCTCCCCCACACTGGGTATTATCATTCCCTGGAATCCTCATAAAACTGATAGATTAGAAGGTAAATTCTTACCTCAATTTGCAACTCTTTAAATAATGATTTTGAATATCTTACAGTTGCTAATCATTTGTTTCTCTGTTTTATTTATTTGTTTAAGGAATTCTTTTTTTTTTTTTTTCTGTGACATTACTGAGGGAGTATGATGTGGTATTAGCAGTAGGAGATCAACGGACTGCATTTCTTTTCATTACGAGACGTTTCTCAGAGGGGAGGGTCTTACCAGGAGTGGGTCAGTGTCTGGACTTGTTAAGGATTGGACCATAACTTGTAGGGAAGCACTTGTTTGATTCTAGAAATGGCCAGAAAGAGAAAGGGTACTATGGACACAAAATGATAAGCGGTGAGCACGAAAACACTTACATGTCTTTCCAGACTGTACGAAGAGACCGAGAAAGGGCTACTGACGTTAAGATGTCACTGGAACAGTAATGCCGTGGTGGCAAGAATATTTTCACTTCACAAATCAGGCTTCCAAAACGTTTCGTGGGGCAGGAGAGCTTGTAGGTCTTGGAGAAAGCAAGTGCATTGCTTTCCGTAGGAAAATGGAGAGGACTCACCTCTCGATGATGGGGTGGTGGTGGTGGGGGGGGCGGGGAGCCTAATCAGACTTACACAGAACCCAAGGGGAGAATATGCCCAATACTGTGTTACTTATTGGACACTTTTGACCTAGTTTCTAGCCAGCCCCTGGTGACTCAGGACATATGCTATGGACTATTGGGACTTCAGACCCTGATTTTTCAAGGCACCCAGCAGCCTTCATAAGCTCACCAGAAGGACTCTATGCGGAAAACCCGGTAAGTAAACGAGGCTCTACCTCAAACTAACTTGTAGCTCTTAGACTAAAGGCTGAAACTACATAATGTGAGAAGAAGCAGATGACTGCTATATCAGGGGTATAGGACTGATGGTTGTTGGACTACCATATACTTACTCTTCCAATTCCCTTCTTGCTTTATTAAGATATGTATTCATCTGGTAGGCCAGGTTCTGCTACAATGAATACTATTGAAAGTTTTACCTTATTACCAACCCTCATTGTTTGTGTAAATAGTGCCCAGTCCCTTAGGAATTTAATCTGTACAAGCCAACAATTCATGTATTGTGGTTTGTAGTCAGTCAACACTTGTAGAATCTCCCCTTTTCAACTATGTTTTAAATTCTTTACCATTGACTAAATTAATGACACTATTAATAGCATGATATTATGCCCCAGGGAGATTATTGGTTATGCTCTTAACATATGGTGAGCCAGATACATATGCATATACAGACCATGGATATATGAATGGACTTTTGGGCTCACTCTTAATTCTAACCCCAATCTAAGAACAATTAGTTCTTGTGCATGACTCTGCTTGATACTTGTCTTTATGAAGAGATCACTGATGATATGGGTAGTAGAGCAAAATGTGGTGAAGAAACTACATGGTTCCTGTCCAGCAGAAAGAGTAGCATCTGGTGTCTTAAAGGCTTATCTTCAAACTAACAGCAATGGAAGTGAGGAGTCAACTAAATCCACATTGGAAGAAGCACACCAGTCTGTGTGATCCAAGGATTGCAAATAATATAATCCAAATATAAAGGAGGGAATGGTTTCAGAGCTTAAATTGTGAATACCTGGTTTGCAGAAGGCTATGGATGATGGTGGAAGCCCAAAATCCATTTGCAGGATCCACACATGTATTAAGCCTCCAGTGAGTTCCTTCTTAACCTTTAGTTGAGGGATTTGAATAGCCTTGTTATCAGACAGAGAGTATTGTAGAGATGATTACAGTAGACATATCCAGTTTAAAATGTAACATTTGATGTGACCTCCCTTTTATCCATTTAAAGTTATAACAATTAAAAAAAAAAGAAGAGGAAATTGCCCGTGGATTAAGCCTCCAGTGAATCCCATCTGAGCGCAGACCAGGGATGTGAATAGTCTTGCTTTCACACAGAGTGCATTTGAAAGTGAATTATGGAAGACATAGTTGGGTTAAGATCTAACACCTTATCATTTGATCTCCTTTTTGTCCCATTTAAAAATAGTTTCTGATTTTTTTTCAACTGGGATTTTTCTCTATTTTATTTTGTTACTGTTGTTAGCTTTTTTGACTCGTTTCTGTATATTTTGTGGTATATAAAATCCAAAATGAGTGAATCTGTGGAGACCGTAACTGGATTGATGGTTCCTTGGGGGCCTGGCAGGGTGGTGGTGGGAAATGGGGAACTGATAACAAGGATGACATTAAAAAAAAGAAAATATTCTAAAATTGCTTG